AAAGTCACTCACTGGCTTTGTACCTAAAGTGGGATTGGAACTAATCTCCTCGTTTCTAATTTTATGCCTTAACCACTAGACCATACTGGCTTTATAAACTTTCTTTTATAGTTTGTCTTTTTATCATTCTATCTCAGAATCAAATCAAACCGCTGAAAAAACAAATGCACAAGAAAAATAGAACAACTAGGTGATAGTATGACAGAAAATCCTTTTGCGCACACTACATATATTTCTGTTTTTAAATTGTCGTGGCCTTTCTGGCAAAGATGTGCATTTGATCTGCATCCACATTTCAGTCCTGAGTAGGACTTGCCATCTTCAAATAGAAAAATAGGATAGTTTCTTTTCTTTATGTGCAACTTAAGTAGTTGTCCCCAGCCCAGTTACTTCATCACTGATGCTGCTTCAAAGTGCTGATTAAGTTGAAGGGAAAATGCTTTTATTTAAAAGGCAAAAGTGATGCAGGACACTTCCACCATTCTCTTTTTGAAGTAGTATACTGGGTTTGGCATGGGAGATGAGCTTAACACTCTAGGTCTGCTTAAAATAGCACCCAGTATCTTCATTTTCAACAAGAAGAACCAATTTGTAAAGCAGTCTGAAAACCCATTCAGGTCAAAGGATTTGAAGGGGAGGAATTTTGTTATGCAAATAACCACCACAAAACAAACTTAAATCCATAGCAAACTTGAATATGTATGTTTTAAATAGTGCTGCTAAAGATGAAAAAGGTGTACTTTCTTCACAGTATCTGCATAATAACTTGCTGTCAGTATGAAAATATTCCTAATTAGAATCTCTAAGCCTAAAAATTTCTCATAGAGGTGATACTGTTCTCCAAGCCAAAATGTATCCTGCATTCAGGTGAATGCAGATCCCATCCAGTTCAGGAAAAGGAGCTCCAAATTTAAGGATACTTAGCATTTTCTCAGACATTTGTTTGTGCACAAGTATGGAGAATCTGCATTCCCATCACCTGTAGCACCTCGTGAAATACAGATTCTGGTCCCATTTTATAGATAGGAAATTGAAGCTAGGAGAGAGACCATCATGTGTGAAATTTAAAACTAAATCAGTTCTTCCTTGAGGATATAGCATTTATTTGAATATTTCCATTGAAGACATAGTATTTCAAATAATCCTATTTACCCACACACATAGATTCATTTTCAACATTTTATGGATTATTACCTATGAGGTAAACTAGCATCTCCTGAATATATCAATCTCAGTCTGATTCTATTTAACTTGCAATTCTAAATACACATGACTGGGAATTTTTTAAAAAAGAATTTTCCTGAGCTTTCTTGGGCAAGGTGTTTTATCTAATTCTGTGCAGATAACTTATTTCTGAGTAACACCAGCTTAGAAATTATTTGATTTACAGATGCAGGCCATCTTAGCTACAAAGGCTTGTGGTGCTCCATGTGTTTCCCATAACTATTGTGTACTTGGTAGTAAAATTTTAAAAAGGTCAGTAGTAAGGAAACCTAATTACAAGGTAATCTTACACCCTGCTGCTTAGAAGCCTCAAACCCAGTGAGTATCCACCTTCCCAAGAAGTGTGGGCTTAGGATCCGGATCTTAAGAGACCCTTAGGAGAGGATCAGATGCAAACGTAAAGTTCCCTTAGCAACCGCCATTGGTGTGTTGGTGCGCGCGCTACAGAAACAGAAAGAGTAGTGTGTAGACAAAATAGGAGGGGCGCCCGTAGTTCCTCCCCATCTAAGATATCAACTGTTGAACAGCACTTAAGGGAGGCGGGCTCGATAGAATATCAAGGATGGCTTCGCCTCAAAGCTGGGGTTCACATATCGAATTGCGCTGCAGTAGGTGCTGATGAGGGCTAAATCTATCACAGACCCGGCGATCCATCAAATTCTGGAGAAGAATAGGAAGGCTTCTCCCTTCGCTTTGCTGTGGGTGCACAGCACAGCTGCCGGAGAAGTGTTGGGATGCTTTCGAAGCGGTTGGTCCGGCCGCTCCAGAAAGTGGAAGGATCTTTTGCGCAGCACCGCCCCGCCTGAAGGATAGAGAGGGGGCGAATCTGGCCAATTTTTGGACGCTTCTATTTAAACGGAAATGGCCACTTCCAGGAGGTTGGAGGCCATTCAGCGAAATGCTAACTTTTAAAGATAAGACCAGGTCTTTAGGTTGCAGTCCCAGGGGACTTGCTTGTCTCCAGAGAGCTAATGCTGCTGGAGGAGGAGGCCGATCAACAACAGCGGACCTCTTTCGGAGAAAAGCAAACGCCGGTCAAATGGGAAAATCTGGTTTAAAGAGCTTTGAGAAGTTGAAGAAAACATCCTTTTCCCCGAGGGCGTTGGGTGGCACTGGAAAATGGGCAACCAGAGAGCGCGCTTCTCTCCGGTACTCGCCCTGCCCAGATCGAGGAGAGCGGCCTCGGAAGCCTTCTTGGCTTCAGTTGGGAAAGAAAAGTTGCCTCGCAGCGGGATGGCAGTCCGCGCAGACTGCAAGTGTTATCAGAAAACGCGCCCGCACCGGAGGCTTAGCCAGAGAGCTTCTTGGCAGCCTGCTTTAAAAGCGGGACTGTGGCTGCTTCTCCACTGCTGGGCTTCCCTCCTGTGTTCCTGCTATGAACACTGACCCTGCCGCCTTGCTGCACAAAAGGAAGGACCTTTTGGGCAGCCGTATACCTTGCTCTTTTCCTTCGGCAACCGGCTAAACAGCCGGCCGGGGTTTCGTCGGTTCCTTGGAAAACGCGATTCGCTGGTTGTGGCATGCATTTCTCTGCACATAATGCGTTTATTAGGAATTGCGTCCGCTGAAGCCCTATTCTCGGCTCGGCAGCGCCTCTGCAATTCCTTCGCTTTGCGGAGAGAGGGAACGAGCGTGGAATTCGACTGCCTGAACCAAAGTTATCCATGGGATCTTGAGGCAGGCCCGCCACGGTCGAGACTTTTCGAAGTAAGCCTATTTCAGTGAGACGCGTAAATTCTGGGAAGTGCTGATGGAACTTAACCTTCTTCTTTGCCAAACGGAGGCTAGGCATCCACACCCTCCCCTTTTCCAGCACCCGCGCAATTTCCCTTGAGCCGCCCCCTTCCCGGCAATCGCGACCGAAAGGGAGTTCGGTGTCGGGATAAAAGTGGTCCTAAGGAGATTCGGCCGAGCGCCTATTCTTGAGAGGCGGCTCTTGGGTCCCTGTCCCACTCCTCCGCGCCTGGAAAAAGGGACGAGACAGGTGGGGATTTGAAAAGACACTCCTCCCGTTGGCGAGGGGGCGGGAAGAGGAGGGAGCGCACGCACGTCCTTCCCGGTTGCCCCAGCGCTTTGGAGCGGCGGCAGGAAAGGAGTTAGCTTCGGCTTCATTCAGCTTGACAGAGAAAGTGGCGCGAGCAGCTAGCCACGGCCGCCCCTCCCTGAGAAGCCAACTAGAGTGCGCGCCTCTGGCCTCTAGCGCTGCCTCTTCGCCGGCGAGCTTCGCTCTTCGAAACAAGGCGCTGAAGAGTCTGCCGGACCTGTCTCTCCCTTCCTTTCTTTTAAGCCGGGGTCATTCGCGAGGCCGTAGAACTACGGCTAAGCAAGAAGGCTAATTAATGGCAAGCCCGCAAAGATGTGACTGTAATTACTTTGGCGGCTTCCCTAAGATAGAAGCTGGACAAAAAAAGAAGGAAATAAAAGGGAGAAAGAGAAAGCAAGCAAAGAAAAAAAAAACCCGCTCGGAGCTTAGTATAAGTGCCGCTTGTGGACGTGGCTCTCCGGGAGGAAATTAAATGGAGACTAGCTGAATACAGAGTAGAAAATTATTGAAGGTAGGCGTGATAATGAATAGGTCGGACCTGGCAGTGAGGGGGGAAAGATCCGTCCACGAAATGAGGCGGTGAAGAGGACTTGGCTAATTGTTCGCATCTTGAAGCAGCCGGAGCTGAAGCAGGGGAGGGCTCCTCCATTCATTTCCCTGGTAAATGTGAAGCGCTGGCCAAATGAGCGCGCCTGCAATCTTCCGTGTCTGGCTTTTTCATAGGTTGCGATTTTAATTGTTGCTAATATACCTTATAATGAAGTTAATGAGGGGAAATTATTGGACAACTTTTGTGCGAGTGGAGCACAAAATGCTTCACTTTGTATTTCTTCTTTTTTGTTGCTAAGCGCGGACATAAGACATACAGTCGCGCATAATTTAAAAGGCAACATTGAATTAAGTTTGAAACGTTTCCCTTTCCTTCTCCTCCTTGTCCTTAGAAAAGAAAAAGATTAAACTTTATTTGATAATGTGAACAAAAAGATGGTAAAGAAATATGGATTTTGCTTTTCCACGTGAAAAGTCTCCATGAATAAAAATAGAGAATTTATTTGAACAGATATTCCGGATGATAAATCAAACAGAAAAAAGCCACTTCTCACTTGTATAAAAAGTATCATGAGGAAAGCTGACTATAAGATAGTTAAGCTTATTGTTGGAATATTTCCTTTCTAAAAACCAATTTTGCACAACCCAACAAACAGTTGAATTATTTTTTTAAAGGCATAAACAATGCAGTGGGTGTTATCAAAATTGTGTTATCTTTTTAACTTAAAAGGCAGAAAAGGTTATTATTTGGGATAGTTAATTTGACTGTTTGCATTCATTTGAAAATTTTGATTTTGTACTATTTAAGGCTATAGACAAGTAGGATTTGCAGTCTCCAAACTTAATGATTCTTCTTTTAGAATGCCTCCATTTAGTGTTTTTCAGAATATATAAGTAGAAAACAAAACTTACTCAACTCACTTGTATGTATGCATGTGTTTGTGTGTATGTATGTAAATATGTTTGGAATTTATGGAAGAATCTTATCAAAATCAGTTCCAAAGAACTGAGATCTGTTTCACAAAAATAATTGCAAACACTGCAACTTTATCCTTTTAATAAAAATAACAGTTATATTCAATTAAGAATTCTCTCTAGCAGGATTAAAAATGTTCAAGTGGACAATAAATAAATAAATTCTAAAGCATATAAACCCCTCCTTTTTTTTTTTATCCTGATATAGAAAAACAAGCTGGAACTTTTGCCTCTCCATGCTCAGGAAGAGAAAGATACCACCAAATTTATCATACTGACACTCCTCTCCATTGCTTGCATTTTGGGAGTCCTTATGACTTCGGGAGTGATCTACTGCCTGCGCCATGGCTCTCATCACAAACTAAAGGAGAAGTTGACAAGCCTAGGCTCTGATCCCAGCTCGGATGCTACTACCACTTATCAGGTAAGAGTGACTTTCTCCACTCCATCAGTTCTTTGTTTTTGTTGGATACTTAAACATTATTTATTATCCCACATGTGAGGGAGTGCTGATTTTATTTATTTATAGCTGAGGTAAATATTTTTTCTTTAAACAATACCTTATTGGGTGTTCTTCCATTAATATTCTCCAATAGACTGTAACAACTTTTTATTGCTGGTTATTAATCATGTCTATTTTTGTAGTTTGCTGTAACTATGTCTTTAATTAGAAACATTAAAAGATTCAATTGCCAATTGAAATACCTCTGGAAAAAATAAGATTAATATGTAGTGTTTGTCATTACATAGTAAATATTTAAACAATCTATTATTTATTAGGCATGGATCATGCAGTTATTTGAAAAGTATCTTTTTTTTCTTTTTGAATCATTAAATTCTTGAAAGTCTGATAAGAAAATAAACTTTGATCTGTAAAGATGTCAGTTTCTCCATTATTCAGATAAATTGGAATATAATGTTGATACATTTGTAGAAGCCAGAACACAACAAGCCTGTTTTATTCTGGAAAAGTGGCCCTTAATAGATTGAAGGCATGAAAATAGATAAATCTTCGCAATAAATTATAAACAATGTAGGATAAAACTTAAATGTTGCAGAAACTTTCTGAGAACTGAAATCTATTTATAATAGGTAGTCCATATCTTTTGTTGTTACATTGCTATATAACTAAACAAACCATATCGTTGCTATAGCAATAACTATGAAACTTCTTTAATGTATAAATGCTAAAACACATCTTTAAACAGGGAATTGTGCATTCAGATAATGAAATATTTTAAAAACTTTTTTTGTCATTACATGTATTTTTTACATTGTGTTGTCTGAAAAATGAGATTTTGTTGTCTGAAAAATGACATTTCCAAAAATAGTAATATGTCCAAATAAATGCCCATTATTACTGTTTCAGAGGAAGAACGCTTAACTTTAATTCTAAGCGTAGGAAGAAAGAAAGAAATAATGTAATCTTCAGATAAAATCTTCTGGGAGAAGACAAGGAAAATAATTTATAGCGAAATGAAGCTATCTGAACGTAAACTAATAGCGAAACTACATATAAATAACAGTGAACAATTAAACTAGTTCAATTCATTTGATGAAAACTTTTTAGCTATTTTTAAGATATATTTAAATTAATATACCTTATTCTAATAATGCTGATAAAATTATAATTTGAAAGTAATTATACTTATTTGTGATAAACAAAAGAATAACAGAATAACTTCTCAGTGACAGTTCTGGTTAGTAATATCTGTAATTAAAATCTTTCTCTTCCAGGAGGAAAATTGTTTGAGTTTCTGGGAATGACCTTTTTGCTATTTTTCTTGGGCACACTGGTTAAGTTGATATTGATTTTATAATGAATTTTGTATTGTTTACTAGGAATCTATCTATACTCCAGATGCTAAATGAAATTTAAGCTTCAATTCTTGTATTGTCATTTATTATCTTTTTAAAATTGCTAAAGCAAGATATAATTCCATTTTAAAAAGAAAAGTGTTTTAACACTATGGTCCTAATTGTGTCAGCTCAAAGGTAAGTCTCACTAGATTCAACAGGGTTTAATTAGAGGTAAATGAGCATAGGAAGTTCAACCCAGATCTAATAAATTTTAATTATGATCTTGAGTTTTCCCTAATATCACCAGTGGAGTCCCGTCCCCATTAATTGTTAGAACAATTGTGATAAGGGAATTGATTTGACAGTTGGAATTTAAAAATGTATTTGGAAGAGGGTGTTATTCTCATCTTTGGGAAGCAACCTAACTTCTGTTTTTAAATTCGTCATATATAAGATTCTAACCAAATAGTGTTATAAAATTTTAATGTCTATGTTGTCTTTACCACCTAGTAATTTAATAACTCATCTGTTCTTTTGCTCCCAGGTATAAGTGTCAAAGTTCCATACAGTGGATTCTAGTGAACAATAATCCTTTCATATATATTAATGTGATTGTTTTGCTCACTTTCACAAAGAATCTGTGAAAATATTGAGAGAATAGAAATCTCCCCTTCTCTCACCTCATCAAAACAAGTACAGGACAACTTCATGTGTTCAAATAGCCACAGGGAGATCATTCAAAAGATTTTCATAATTGGAAGTTTGGATTAATGGGTGTGCTGTTTAGTGTGGCAGAGTTGACCTGGGGCTATAAAAGTGACTTAACAGTGTTACAAAGAACATAGAAAACTGGTGCTTGCATAATAGGGTTTCTATCATATAAAGAAAGTACTGGTATGGGTACTCATTTTCTAATTTTGCCTGAGGGTGTTGAAGAGGAAAAAGCTTGTTAGCCTTGGAATAGTAGAATACCAGAGAAGCAATCCTTTAAAAATAAACTCATTTCTTACTAGCAAGTTCTTATTGGCTGATCCTAAGTTTATGAAGAATATGCCTATTGATCTAAGGAGTATTTTGAGTATAAAGGAACATTTATCTCTGAAAAATCATGCTTAGAACTATTCTGTCTACAATAAATATTTCACACAGCTTTTTCTTTTGATCTTTCCCAGTAATTTACTGATTTAATTAAAATTCAGTTAAATATTTAAATATTTTTTTCTATATGATGAAAATCAAGTAGAAGATAAATTGGTTATATTTAACTTGCAAGAATGGCTGTAGTGACTCCCATTCAGATGTTGAGTTAAAGAAACCACAGCCTATTTTCGTTTTTAAAAATTAAGCCTTCACAATCTTTAGCCTTTATGATTCAAAAATAGGGGTTTAGTTAGAAATGATCCCTTGGCAATAGTTAGAAGATATTATCCTACTTAAATTATTGTACTACAAGCAGGAGAAAAGAGAGGATAAAATATTGTAAATTATTTTGATGAGAATATTTGCATGACACATTATTCAAGATTTTATTTTAGGGTAAAATCAATGGTGAAACATCAACTGAAGTTAATGTGCGTATAAGCTCCTGAAAGCTCTTTGAAATAACGGTGGAGCTCACATTGACCCTAGTTATAGAGAAACACAATACATATAATGAAACATAAGTCTATGTTGCACCAATCAGTAGTTATTTTCTTCCCAACATAAATATTTATACATATATGGTATGCTTTGGCAACAGGATCCAAAGTATTAGGATGTTGTTAATAAATTAAACAAATCAAATCTGTCAGCCGTGGAACAACTTTTCAGCGTATATATATTAAAATATGAGGTAAGATGAATTAGAAATTTGAGATTGTATTATTTAGGGACTAGAGGTTTGAAAGATATAGTCATATAGTTATGAATTTTGTTTGACTTGATTGTTTTTATTTCTGAACAGGGCTGCATCTTAGTTCTTTGAAAAAAATACATAACTTGATTTTTCAAGTGTTTCTTTCCATAACCCATATGAAATAAAGGATATGTTAATTATTGTATGTTCAGTATAAATATGGACAAACTGCATCTACTTTTCTGTCCATTTTATTTAGTCATATAAGCTGCACAAATAGCAATATGTTTAAACCAGCATTAGAATCAAGGCATTAAAACAGATTCTTATTGCTCCCTTTGTTTTGCTTTACTTGTTTGTTTACTCTGATTGTTGCTGCTGTTAGGCTTCCTTTCAGTTTCTATAAGTAGAGCCAGTCTATCCTGGGAATTCTATTTTCCTCTTTTATTTTTGAGAGGTTGGTGATGAAACAATTTAAATAAAATGTCTTTAAGGGATACTTGATATTTTACAGACTTGAACCTCCATATATATATAAGCCATATCATGGTATGTCAGTGTGGGGATAAAGCATTTAAGCATGGAGTGCAAGGGGAACAATGTGTAAACATTAATAGTGATTGCATATTTTCATTGTCATTGATGTCATCATCAATGAGCAAATTATTAATGGAAGTGTGCATTGATGATTGCTGCTCTTTAGGGATAATCTATTGTTCCAAGAGTTGTTTATATAATTGTAACTGCACTATTTCTTTTGACTCCTGCCTGCCAAAATACTATATTGGGCAAAGATGATAGCCAGTTTGTTTATTTGCTAAATAGGTAGATACTTAGATAAGCAGGTAGAAAGGTAGATCTGTACATACATATATACATTTTAGAAACATTCACTAGTGAACACAAGCTCTTTGGACATTAGGCATTGTCAATAAAATAACCTTCCTCTGAGGGGGATTAATCTTGTTACTAAATAACATTATGCTGAACTCATACACTATATTTACCTTTAAACTGAAATACACTTGTTGCTTTAGAACATTTTTTACTTATTTGAACAGTTACACAAATAATATTTAGGATGATTCAATAAGAGAATGGCGAATCCCAAGGTTTGTGTTTATTCCTTTTGCCTCATTTGTTTAAGTTTATGAATAATAGTTCTTATGTTAAATAATTCCACATTCATGTAAGCATCTTATAAATATGTTTTAAAACGTCAAGTATTCATATGTGCACGCATATGTGCATTGTAATACATAGTATACATACATATCTGCTTGTTCTAAAATAGAACAGAAATCTTATAGGCAATGGAATCTAATCAGCTGTATAAAGCTAGAGAAAAATTAGTATTTTGCAATTGCATCAATAACCAGGCAAGTTCAAATAGCATCTAACAAGTTGGTATATTCAAAATACTGAACACTTGGACAATTGCTCTAGCTTGAGAGACATATTGAATTCTCCATTATGAATGTACTTGTAGATTTATGGAGGTGTACTGAGTGAAGTAAGAAGAGGAAAACTGAGCATTAATAGAAAAATGGTATTACTGCCTCTTGAATTTTTATTTATTTATTACTGAACTAGTGTAATGACTTAACTTTATTCTGTCATCAAAATATCTCTTAGTCCAAATGACAGGATGGAACTAGTCTGATTAGTATATTTATTTTGCAATCCCACTGAATTAAAACAGTTATATTTTTTAAAAAAACCATAAATCTGGGTTTTTATAAAAGTATAAGTGTATGATGTGCAATTATAATCCAGATTAGAATCAT